AAGATTTAAGCAACCATAGTGATAAGTTCTGCTGCAGAGCATCTTGCGCGCGCCTCGTTATTGTGAGGTCATTTGTAAGTTCACGTATTAGGGGTCACATAATACGTAGCTTTGTAGTCATAATCCAGGCATCGATTAATCGTCAGGAACATCAGCAGATTAGAGAGGAAGATTGTTGACGTATTCGGGGCAGTGCAGGCTTATGTTGATGAATAGCTTTTTCTTTGTAGAAACTCAGCATTTTCCTAAGTGTTGCCGGTGTTCTGTAAGGGGGTCGTTCGCTTTACGAGCAAAATTATTTTGTTGGAGAAGTCGTTTTTTTTAAAAACATGGGTGGTTGGAGGGCTCCACTGGTAAGTGTTACTTCTTGCCCCCCCCCCCCCACCCCTTGTTTCTATTTTTCCGTCATTTTTTTTGTTTTTGTCTTTTTAAATGTAGATGTTTTTCTCGCCCCTTCCACAAATCGACACAAGTTCGATCATTTAGTTGGCGGGCTTCTGACCCTGTCTGTCTGGGTCACCCTGGGCTGAGAGGCATACAGTATTCCAGAAGAAAGAGCGAGATACTCAATAACAGTTTCTCCCCACTCGGGAATTGAACTCGGATGTCCTGCGTGCTACAGTGAAGCAAATAACCGCTACACCACAGTCACCGGTGTTTTGGCTTCTTTATTCTTTTGAAACTATGTTATAACAATGTTATTCTCTTTACTGAAACCAACAAATACATTCTTTTAAAGTTTTGTTTTTCAGTAAACAGAGACGCAAAATGTAGCGTAATCAGGATCATAAAGTTTTGATGTAGTAACCGTTCCAACAATGTACCTTTGTCCACATTTTCATAAATTATTATCTGCTCAATTAATAGTTTCGGGGGCTCTCGTCGTCTAGATGTTACAGTGTTCCCATCTCATTCAATAGGTCCCGGGTTCGAAACCTGACAGCGACGGAAATGTTCTACTCTAAACTTTTCTCCTTTCACCAATTTTCTGCTCTCTAACTATGTTTCGTCTCCACTTCTGCCCTTCCCCTTCCACCCCTCCCCCCCCTCCTCTGGGCTCTTGACACTTTCTGCAGCCTTTCTGCTGCTATTTCTTGGCTCCTTCTTACTGCTATCTTTCAGCCACAGCCCTGGTTAGGGGAGGCAAAAATCAAACATCTAGCTTTCTCGGATAAGGGCGAAAAATCTCGGAGGTGTCGTATGCAAGTTGTGCATTGAAGAAGATCTCTTGGTAGTCCAAAATCGATAAGGTAGGCTTTGGCCGCCACCCGGGCAAAATTCAAAATTAATTTATACCAAACCGCGCGCTCATATGACCTTATGCAGTTACGAGCGCCGTATAACACTTACCAAAACAAAAACAAAACAAATAGCAGTTTCCATAAAATCGCAGATTGGGAAAAAGCTGACCTTTTTCGAGGAGGTTTAAAAAAACAAAGAGATTCAACTTCCACCCC